CCAAAGCGAACAGACCTATTTGGAAGTAAGGAGGGTAAAGTAAAACCGAACCCAAACCCGGGCCTACCTGTCCAGGGAGCAGCCTGGCCTCACCTGCAGCGTGGAGGGGGCCTTGCCAGGTGGGGAGCGGCCGGCTGGGCGAGTCCCAACGGCCTGTTAAGGCAGGTGCTGGGGTCAAGGCTTGTCCTGACCTCAGTTGCCCTCAAAGGAGAGTTAGCGTCCGCCATGCACTTGGCACCGAGACACAGCTGGCATGCCCTGCATGGATATGTATGACGGCAAAGAGATCTAAAAGACACACTTGCTTCCCCGCCACCCCCGCACCCACGGAAAGAGTTAGGGGTCTCCCCTGCCTTCCTGCACAAGCTGCAGCACCTCAGGGTGCTTCACTTTAAGAAATATATATATATATTTTTATTGATTTTTTACAGAGGAAGGGAGAGGGATAGAGAGTTAGAAACATCGATGAGAGAGAAACATCGATCAGCTGCCTCCTGCACACCTCCTACTGGGGATGTGCCCGCAACCAAGGTACATGCCCTTGACCGGAATCGAACCTGGGACCCTTGAGTCCGCAGGCCGACGCTCTATCCACTGAGCCAAACCGGTCAGGGCAGGGTCCTTCACTTGCAAAGCATTGCAGGCAAGTCCCCACCTGCCTGTTTCTTCCTTTGCCGGAGAGGCACACACGCCTCCTTGTTTAAATGTTCACAATATCCAACACTGCCGCCTCACTCCACTCCCTGACCCGTGTCAGCTCGCGTGCAGCTCGGGCAGACACGAGATGCCCTACCTCACTGCGGACTCCCTGCAAAGTTCACGGCAAAGACAAGCTCGTTTCCCGTTGACTGGAAACAGGTGTCACGTGACTTTGCAGACTCCCGCGGGATGGAGACAACACAAAATAGCCAGGGAAGCATTGATCCACCAGCTGGCCTCCATGTCACCGTTTTGCTATCTGACCTTGGTCTGAAGGTCAGACCCTTGTCTTTAGTCTTTAAGAAAGAAAGACAGCATGCTTTCTGCAAAGAACACCTGACTAGGTGTGGGGAGATCTGTGTTCTAGTCCTGACTCCGCTGCCAAATACCTGTGGGCTTCTGGTCAGGGCACTTGGCCTCTCTGTGCCTCCAGTTTTCACATCTGTAAAACTAAGACAATATATACCTTTCCCACCTCACAGTGCTGTTGTGAGTATCAGGACAAAGAAGATAAACTTGGTCAATATGCTTTTCAAAGTATGGAATGCTATACCAGTGCAAGATATTATCAAGAGCATGATGCCACAGAGAGATTTTCCTTAAACGATTAATAGACTTAGTTTCTAAATAGTCCCTAAAAGCCCATTTCTCAGAATGTGGTTCTTGGGCCAGGAATGAATGAATGCATTACCTACCTGGGAGCTTGTTATAAATGCAGAATGTGGGCCCCATCCCAGACCTACTGAATCAGAATCTGCATTTTAGCAAGATTCCTAGATGATTCATAGAAACATTAAGTGCAGTTGGGCAGGAGCATAACTTACACCACAGCTTTTCAAAATCTTAAGTGTGTGTAACTCCAGAGATTCTGGTTCAGAAAATCTGGGTGGGGCTTAGGGATCTATATTTTACATGAAGGCCCCAGTTGATCCTGTAGCCCCAGGACCACACTTTGAGAAATACCACACTAACCCACCAAGATGTTGGTCTCCATGGTTTAGTTTTGAACCTTAGTAGAATATCAGAGAATCTCTAGATCTGCTATACAATCCCAAGTTAAGGTCTCAAATTCAAACCCATATGTTTCTTGAAGAAAAAATAAAATTCATCCCCAATCGTTGCTTCTCTATCAGCAAGAAGTTATCCATCTAATTCATGAAACTTTCAGGGTGGCTTTTGTTTTGACTTCTTGGGTTCAAAATTAAGCATCTATTTTTGTTTGCTTTAAATTGCAGTCACCTTTAAGTAAATATTTTGTTCATATGGAACATAAATATATATTCATATCTATTTTAGTTACCACATCTCACAGTTAAAAAGAAACTAGAGAGTTCACAAAAGATAGAGCCTTATTTTTACTTTACAGTTCCAAATTCCATGAACTAAGAATTGTAAAAGCTGTATTAAAGGCATATGTGCAGGTTGGAAATATTAATTGATATTTACTTTTAAACAGATGTGACCTCTTAAAAACTCCTTCTTTTATGTCTAAAATGAAGAGTTAGGAACATTAGTTTAAAACTACTATTACAATCAAGCAGCTTTCTTATTTTGTAGAAAGAGAAACATACCCAGAGCTGTGAGGGTCGTACATCTGGTTTCCCAGCAAGGTGGTATTTGTGCCAGAAGAAGTTATTCTCTATACTCTTTAAACATTTGCCAATTTCCTTTAATTCCTGGTCTTTAATTATTGTATATCATATAGGATTATGATATAGACTCTGGACTCTTTGCCTTGATACATAGAAAATACTGCTACACTCAGCAGAAAATATCCTCTTTTCAACTACTAATTTCTTAATTAGCCTAGGTTTGCTGTAGTTGGAATAGGGTACCCACCATTAGTCTTTGGGGGTGGAAGAGGAAAGTGACCGAGCTTAAAAAAAAAAAAGTCCCACAGTCAGGATAGATGTTAACGATGGAGCAGAGTGAAAAGGAAATCCCTCTTTTGTGTTTTCAGGAGATGCACTTAGAAGACACCACCAGATTCTGTCCAAAGGAAGAAAGAGAAAGTGAACAAACGTCTTTCAGCGATCAAAACCCCAGGCAAGACCAGAAAGGGGGCTTTCGCAGCTCCTTCCGCAAGCTCTTTAAAAAGAAGTGAGTAGCCCTTAGTCAAGACAGCGTTGTAACTCATTTCCCTTTGGGCCGAGTCTTGAGGTTTTAATAGTAATAAGTATGGAGTAGCCTGGTTTCACACAATGGCTTCAAGCTCCGTGCCTGCTCCCAGTAACCACGATTCATGCAGGTGAAGATGTTTCTCCTTGTCATCTCCTAGAGTAAAAGCAAACTCAGCTCTGCCCTCTGCCTCTTCTATCTTTTAGCCCTACTTCCTTGTTCCCAAAGTCATGTGTCCTGAGCAGAGTGAGCAGAGGTGGTCCCCTGGGAAATGAGCTGGTGACCATGGAATTCCTTTTAGCCTGGGAGGAGTGGGATCCTCTATGGGAGGTGGGAGCAATGGAAAGTTTTCTAAGGCATCTCAGCACTTCTGCCTGTAGGGCCCTAGAGTACTGTTCATTGGGACTTACAGTGTCTTCCCTATCTGAAATGATTGAATAGATTTGGCTTGGGCCTTAGTTAAAAAAAATCACTGTAATGGAGTTTCCACACTCCATAGGAGGCAAAAACAAGCCATTTCCCTTCTCTGGTCCTTCTTTTTGGCCAGCACTTACCATCCCTGTCTTACATACTGGGAGACAGTGGTCTAACCCCAGCATGAAATGTAAGGAACATACTGTGAAAGTCCAGCCATTGCACACCTGAGAAACTGCAGTCTCTATTGCCACTGGTCCTCAGGCCTACTTCACTCTTCCTTAGAGAGATTTCCCCCTGCTGCTTAGTTTTTCTTGGTGGAGGAGGTTCTTGCAGTCAGTTTTAAACAGTAAATCTTCATATTTTAGCGGATGGAAAAGTTAAGGACATTATTGCTGCCGTTGGAGAGTTTCTAATAAATGAGGAAGCACAGGGAAATCACGTTCCTAAAGGTAGAGGTTCCTGGGCTGATTTAGATAATGAATTATCTTGATGAAAGAATTGGGGGCAGGCCTGGAGTGAGGACTCTTTTTTTGATAGTTTGTCTAATTCTTCTCCCTTGGGGATAGTGGTACTGAGATCAGTGGGTCTCTGCTGGTCCTCACCTGTTGTTACTGGAAGAAGGGGAAATAGGCAGAGACAGAAACATGACTCAATCAGAAACAGCCCCACCCTGCAAAGTCCCCTTTCAGTTTCGCTGAGGCAGCCCCATGCACACAGGCACGGCTTTTGCTGGATCCCCTTGATTTAGGGTGAGAAGTTAAGAATTGTATCTCTCTTTAGGATCACAGACTTAGTGCCTACTTGTGTCAAGAGTGGAGAAACCTGGTGGCAGACAACTCTCCTGCCTGACCTTGGGATTTAGGTTCCTAAATCCTTCTAGCAGTGGTTCTCAACCTTCCTAATGCCGCGACCCTGCAATACAGCTCCTCATGTTGTGGTGACCCCCAACCATAACATTATTTTCGTTGCTACTTCATAACTGTCATTTTGCTACTGTTATGAATCGTAAGGTAAATATCTGATATGCGGGATGTATTTTTATTGTTCGCGACCCACAGGTTGAGAACCGCTGTAAGGGCACTGCTTGAACCTTTGTCTTTTTAACCACAGTATTCCCAAAGTACACAGCCATCTTTTGCCCGCTGCCATTTATAATGACTGGGTACTGTCTTTTGGAAAGCAATGAGCCCTGGATCCACCACGGTTTTTGTTTTGTTTTTTTACAAACTGCCATGTTTTGGAGAGATGGAAGAAAATGCTGTGCAGTTACCTGAGGCAGAGGGAATAGCTTTATCCTCTCTGTGTCCAGGGGGCAGAACTAGGAGCAATGGGTGAGAGGAAGAACTTTCTAAAAATGCAACTGCCTAGAACTGGAGCTGGCTGCCTGGTGAGGGAGTGGGTTCTCTTTGGGAGAAGGTAGATGTCCCTGGTCAGGGACGTCATGACAGGGATTCCCACCTGGGTGAGATTGTCCAGGACGGTCACCTGAGTCATGTCCCGGGCTGAGATTTGCTTTGTCTGTAGTTTGACTTTGTTGTGGATCAATCTGCCTATTCACATCTTTTTAACATCTGACACAAGTAATTAATGTGGCCTTGGGACCCATAATTTTAAAGACTCACCGTGTGGAAGACCCGATTTTATCTTTCCATAGCCCCTTCACAGCCCTCAGTGCAATGCTGAGGACTTGCTGTGTGGAGGCTTCAAATTCATGTTGGTTAATTGCTTCCAGTCATCTTGCAACTTTTTGGGATCCTTCTTAGAACCAAATGGATTCCCTTACTCCTCTTATCTCTTCTCTTGTATCAGTCCCTCCTGCATCAATCCTATTGTTGCCACCATACTTTGTATTTAAATTTCGAAGCGTTACATGAATGGCCACACAGATGGCTGCTTCCTCTGGCAGCTTTCCTGGCTTTTTACATCTGGTGTAGGACTGTGAGCACCACCAGGAGATGCTTGCTTATCGCCTTCTGTCCAGGCTACCACACTGAGCACTTTGGGGGTTTGGCCTGGGATCAAGAAACAGCTTGAGTGACTTTTTCTGAGTATTTCCCTGCAAAGACCATGGGACGTTTGCTTCATTATGCCAAGGTAAAGAGGAATGACAAGGAAGCCCCAGTGTAGCATGGAAAGGCCAGGTGCTCTTAGCTGAGAACACGCCCTTCTTCTCATCAATTAGGCATTCTTTCTTGTATGCATGTGCTTTGTGAGACACTTGTACAGGAATCATGAAAGACATAGTCCCGGATGCTATGTAGGAGCTGTTACAGAGGACTCTGAAGTTAGGCCTGTGGACAGGCAGATGGAGAAACCAGCAAGAGACTCAGGTCATTCTCCTCCCGCATGATTGGGAGATCATTTTGGCAGCAAGCCCTGTGACTAGGAAGTGGTTTACCCTGGGGACTGGAACCATGCCAGAGCCTGGCCTCCGAGGTCCAGAATGGACCAGCACCAGAAAAGCCGCCGTGTCACATCTGCGGCTCACTGCCTGCCTACCCTACAGCCCTCTGGAGGCTCATTCCTGTCTACACTGACACAATTTTTGTATCCATAGGGGCTTGTTTGGCTGGTGGCCCCACACACCCAGAATGCTGCTTCGGGATGAAGCTAGGCATGGAGCCAGATGCAACAGAAAACCTGGGAAAGGGTTCTCTTCCCTCTGAGGCTGGGAGGGCCGGATGCTCATACCCACAAGGATTCAAAAGGGAGAGTCAAGTTGACATCTTTAAAAAAATCCTGAAAAATACCCAAGACACTTGGGGAAAAGAATGATCCCCTGTTTCTATCTCAGGCACATCTGTCCTGGGTAGATAGACACCAGGTCATATGTCTCTGAAAGCTGTCCAGAATTAATCAGAAGAAAGACTACATATCTTAACGTTTGAAAAGGTTAAGTGACTTTAAAGTTTTAAATGAGGAGTCTTAGAAGCCAGGAGCAGACCTAGTGTGATAGGCTGATGCTGGACTGAATCCTTAACCCCCTGCCTTTGAGAGGATGGGAGGCAAACTATCCCATTCTAGAAGGATCTATATGGAGGTTGTCAAAGACTCAAGTGTAGACTATCCTGAAGTCTCAGGCAAATGTTACTTCATATTTGTATATAAATCTTACACTTAGGTTAATAAGAATTCTTGGTTTGGGGTGTGACATAGGGGAAGAGGATTATGTAAGACAGTTTAAGAAATACAAATGCTCTTCCTTTTTATCCTCAAATCTGGGAGCAGTGGAAGATAAACAATACGACTTCCAAATACTTAATTCTACTTCTTCTCTCATTCTGTTCTTCTTTAGCACTTTATAACTTACACACCTCAGAGTAGCTCCTTCCCAGTCATTACCCTCCCTCCACCAATCACATCAAATATTTCCAGTCTGAATCACACACAGAGAGAGTAGTTCTGCAGGGCCCCATATAATTGAGTATCTGAATCCTCTTCTTTTGGTGTCTTATCAGCTGTTTATGCATATGCCCAGTCGTGGCTGTGGGACAGACCATGTAATAGAATACAGGACTACTAAAGAATCAATTGATAATTTTACCCTCACCTTCTTTACTTCGTAAAGCCTAATCTCATGTCCTTTCCACACTCATACTTAGTTTGGGGTTCTTTCTCATTTCCTATTGTATTTCCCAATATAACTTTAAAATTGAAGGAGATAGTTGAAGGGATGACATTGTACATTATTCAAACCTTATGTGTTTCTCAATAGGTCATTTGAAATCAATCCCTAAGTTAAGGATCTTTAGTGTACTAAGTTCTGTTTAGCACAAAAGAAGTAAAAGAGATAGTTGCAGTCCATTAAGAGCTTACAGCCAAATGTAAGGGTAACCCAGCTGCAAGGTTGAAAGATAGTAAGCACTCAGCAAACATGTAGTAAGCGAGAGCTCATTTGTCAGTCACCTTGTTGATTACTAGGAGACATGCCCTTACTTCTCCAGGGACATGGCTCCTAAAGCTTTCAAAGTGGACAGTCTTTCCAATCAGAAAACCAGCCCTTCTTAGGTTAGAGGGTGGTTCTATGCCCCAGATTCCACCCCCTCCTCCCTTCCCCAGCTCCAAACTTTCAAGGTTTATTTGTAGCAAATTTAACTTGGATGGTTAGGTGTCAGAATGTACTGGCAGTGTTGTACCCTTACCCAGCAAGTGTTTGCCTGCCTGTGTCTTCAGTGCCTGCTCAGATCTGCCCTGTACTCAACTGCCATGGCTCCAGGAGCTCCAAAGCCATTGCTCGTTTATAGAGAAAGGGAGTAAAAGCAAATACTCTGGCCCTTTCTTCTCAGCCTGCAGGTGATTTCCAAGTAATTTAGGTCAATATCACTTCAGAGCCTAACAGCCACACCTTTGGAAGAGTCCAGCTGTTGAAGTGGCCACATGCCATGTACGCAGTATAGAGGTCAGTTAAAATTGTCTTTAAAAAGGATGAAAATGAGCTTTTAGTCATGGCTACAGTGGATGCTAGATTTTTAAAGGATTAGCAAGTTAGCCATTAGTTAATTAATAGTTAATGTCAAGAAGCACAGAGAAATTCACAAACCTGGAGACACACAGAGGTTGTTAATGAGAAGAGCAGTTAAAAAAGAAAAAACTAAGCTGAGTTCATGGACTTTGAAAACTAGACAGGGCGATTTTGGCATTTGTTTCAGAAATGGGAACGCATCTGGTGAAGATTTCTGTGGTCCTTGGGGCTGGTGGTGACATCAAAGCTTTCCCATTTCCAGGTAAACACTAAATAGTTGCATGTTAGAACCATCAAATATGACATGTTGGGTTTTGGAGAGATCAGATATAGCCAAGGGGAAATGTGAGGTAGAGATTGCAAGTTTTGACTAATGACATTCTGATGAGAAACTGCCATGATAGGGGAACAATTCAGGAAAAAACACCAGCCAGATTCAAATCTTGCTTCCTACTTTCTGTCCCCAAAACTTAATAGGCATTCCCTAGTCTTCTGGATAATAGACGATATGGGGGAAAGAATGAAATGGTCCATATCTTCCTAACATTTTGGACACAACTGTACTTGTCAGGGATGACTTGAATTGGAGGCAGGTGGGAGTTCTGAGAGGCGAGAGAAGGCCAGGAGTTCTACTAGTAGGGCGGGCTTGTGGAGGCTGTTTCAAGGGAGAATTCCAAGGGGGCTCCTGGAAAGGAAGAGGACTTCCACCCCACCCTGATACCATCTTATCTGATGACTGCCCAGGGGCACTTGGGTTGAGAGAGAGAGTAGTTTTTCTTCTATGCCTTGGGATGTGGTAGGAAAGTGCTCCTTACAGACCAGAGGTAGAAAGCATGCTGGGCATGTGTGGCTTCATCTGTAATACCAACTACCAGGGTGAAAAGTAAAAATATCTACTCATCAGGTTTCCAGACATGAGGATTTTATTCTTTGTGTGGATCTAACTTCCTTCCTTTAATAAAGTAAAAAGGGTGTTTGAATTCTGCCCAGTCATTTCAGTAAATGACAGTCATAATGAGCTTATCTAATAACAACAATGAGGACTCATAGTATACTGATGGCAGGAAAAGGACTTTTCTCTGTGGGTAGTGGAAGCATGCCTGACTCTGCCTCCACACATGGAGAACTTGTTTAGTTGTGTAGGAGCTTTGGACAGAGAACTTCATGTCTAACATCACTTTCATACATCCTACATGAGGTCTTTAAGATACTGGTTTCTAGTCGTTGGGCTAGTTTTACCTATTCTAGCTCAGAGTTTAAGCTAGCCAAAGGGCCCCAGCCTAGCTTATCAGAGGTTTTCCAGAAAGCCTCCTCCCTCCAGGGACTTCTGACATGAACAAACTGGAGAAGGTTGCAGAGCTGGACTGGATTACCCAACTGGCTTAACCAAGATAAAGGAAGAATGCACCCTGGACTGGGGACTCAATTGGACTGATCTGAGTTGTTGACTATTGATTTGGCTTGGTCTCCTTCGTGGTGGTTGAGATTACAGAATCTCCTCAATCTGATTACTGTACCAATTTCTGCATTCTACCAAATGTAGCATATATGTGTGGTTGGTTTCAATAAATCTTTTATTCAAAAATGAAAACCAGTAAAAGCAAGAGTTTGTAATGTAATGCCCAAGTTCAGTAAAGACCCTTGATAACCTTGGTTGAGAACAATGAATTCCATCCATTTTAATTTAAGGGCCTTACTTGTTTGTGGAGTAGTTACTTGGTTAAATAAAAAAATAGGATTTCTTTAATTTTCTGAGCTTAGTTCCCCCTTTACAGTGTTATTACACAATATCTTACACTGACATACACAGTTGTTACAATTGTCCCCATAAAGCATTAGAAAGGTATTCTCTTTATATTCCCTGCAAATCTTAGTTACACATGTCCTGAGTCATGAATTCAGGGGAAGTAAATATTATTCCAGGTCTAGGAGGTAACTGTTTTACAAATGCAAAACAATTTGGATAGATAAAATATTTGAGAACAATTAAAACCAAATCAACCTGTACTTTATCTGTGTGCTGAGATTTTAGGTCCAGTGGATCAGAATACAGGGAAAAAACTAATGAGAATCCCTCAATGGATCCTTCACCCACCAAACAAGATTTCTTCAGAAACCGACTTGCTCTTGCAAATGACCTTGCCTCAACACTTGGGAAAAGGGAAACGAAGACTTTTCACAGTATTACAAAAAAACACAATAAATGTGGAGGAAAATAAACGTTTGTAAGATCAAAACTTCCACCTTGAAGTCATTGTCCTAGTATGATATTAGCTTGTTCACATTTAACATGGATATGCATTTTATGCTTCCTAGACATTTGGCTTATAATCCACCCCAGTTCTTAGACTCTAAGGCAGTACCTAACATTCCTTAAGGCAAAGGAATCAATTAACAGAATTTATTTTACATGGTGCAATTCTTGGGTTGTGGAGATTTTATACCATGATACAAAAGACACATTGATCTCCAAACAGGAAGAGAACCTTATAAGTAGTATTTCTCATGTTCTATGGTTATGAAAATCAGTAGATAGAGGGAACAATGATTTCTTTAGAAAGTTGGAAGCTAAAGAAACATGGTGTGTGTGTGTGTGTGTGTGTGTGTGTGTGTGTGTGTGTGTGTTTTGCTACAGATGGGAACAGTCCAGAGTCTGTTTTATTGAGCAATCAGGACTGAGATCCCCTAGTGATCTTGAGTGCTACATACACCCTCATGACCAGATGTATTGGAGGGAAAAGCACCGACTTAGCCACATCCTCTTAAAAGCTTCCTTCACCCTGGAAGGAAGGTGGCAACACATCGATGCGTTAATGGCTCACATATGAGCCATGAAAACTTAGGGCTGGCAGTACTTTATCCTGTTTTCCTGAAGTAAGTTGTAAAGAAACAGAGTTCTTAAAGCGCAGACAAGAATCTTTGCAATGAGGCTTGCTTGGATGAGGGATAATAAAATGTGCTCTATTTCTACATGGATATGTCTAAGAAGGCCTACGTCCTTGACATGCCCCAAACATCAGAATCATAATAGAAAAAAAAATTAGGTTTAAACAATTAGTGTCCATTTCCAGGCTATTGTCTATAATAAATTAGGGGCATTTGGTTACTGTTTATTCAAAATCTTGGCACCCACACTTACTTCTTGGAGAATATTCCTCTAGTAATGCACTGTTTGATCAAATGGGGAAGTTTCACTTTTAAGTGTTACAAGTTTTCTTCTACTTGTCTGGTGACTTACTTAGGAATGCATTCCTTAGTATTTTGAACAATAGGTGGTCTGGAACACGTAGCATTGGCTGCCAAGTTTGGGGGGGTTTCCAATATTTAAGTTTAATTCAAACTGTCCATTTTCCCAAAATTAATGAACTCCTTTGAAATTAGATTTATCTCTATTATCTGGCCAAAGAAGTTTTGGGGACAGTGCTTGAAGAAATTGTTGTGTGACAGTAAAGTGAATTTTACACATTATATGAACATGAGGATGTGATTTAGGTATGACTGAAAATATTATTTTGGGAAGTTGTCAGACATTCAAAGTAGTTAAAATTTTTGTGCCTAATACAAGTAACTTATTTTCCAAAATTAATGTTGTTTTTGAAGAGCTTAGTGCATAATCTTGGATAAGTCATCTAAACCAGTTTGTTAACTATAAAATAGTGATTTTTATCCCTCCTTCTTGCTTCATTTCCTGAGACATAGTAACATTAACTGCTCTTAATTATCAGCAAGAAAACGAATTGTGTTACTTCTTTCTCGTGTATATAAACCCATTCATCTAAAGATAGTGAGATCTACTGTAAAAGTCTGTGGCTGGATACCATCTGTGTTTCTAAGTGGGCTGTTTCCACTTAGCACTGGATACGTCCCATTTCGTCATTATCACATATTTCTTTTCAACCAGGGAAGACCCTTCAGCATACAAACATGCTCTTATTTCTCCAATTTTTAAAGGAAAATAAATCTCTTGACAGTTCTCTGCTTTCTTTTATAGTAAAACTTGAAAGAAGAAACTGTTCCAGTTCCTCTCCTCCCGTTTTTTATTAAATTCAGTTAGGCCCATGCCACCCCTGACTGCTCATCACTTTCACCTTGCTAAAGGAATGGTCCATTCTCAGACATCTTACTCTCCCCATCAAATGGCATTTGACATCCTGGTCACTCCCTCCTTCTGAAATTTCTTCATTAGACCTCAAGGACACAACATACTCATGCCTCCTGTTCATCTTTTTCCATTGGCAGTTCCTTTTTGGTCCCAAGTCTCTCCTTTGCTTAAATCTCTTCTTTTTCCAGTCTGCTGGTTTTAAAATAGGATATTTATGAAAGTGATTTCCAATTTTATAGCTCCAACCCAAAACTCTCTCCTAAACTCCAGACTTATATCTTCGACTGCGTCCTTGGCATCTCTCAGATGTCTAATGTATTTACTGAACTTAACATGTCCAAGCCTGCTTCAACCATATATTCCCCACCTCAGTTAATGGTAACTTTGTCCTTCCAAAGCCAAAAATATTGATGTCATCCTTGACATTTCTATTTCTTACAGCCAACTTCTATTCTATCACCAAATTGGCTGTCTTCCAAATGTGTCCAGACTCCAGCCTCTTTTTTTTTCTTTTCTTTTTTTCTTTTTTCAGAGTTTGACCTCTTATCACCACCTCCACTTCTGTCACTTTGGCCAAACTGCCTTCTATTGGGCTAACTTCCTTATTCCCACTCGTTTTTTATTTTATTTTATTGATTTCAGAGAGGAAGGGAGAGAGAGAGAGAAACATCAATAATGACAGAATCATCAATTGACTGCCTCCTACACGCCTCCCACTGAGGATCGAGCCTGCAACCCAGGCATGTTTCCTGACCGGGAATCAAACTACGACCTCCAGTTTCATAGGTCGATGCTCAACCACTGAGCCACACCCGTAGGGTCTTTCTTATTCCCACTCTTAACCCCTAATTATTCTCAACATAGCAGCCAGAGCAATCCTGTTAAAATGTAAATTAGATCATGTCATGCCCCTGTTCAAACCCTCATAGGGTTCTATTTCTCTCAAACAGAAGCCAAAGTCATTACAAGTGATCTGGACCACATTAAACCTCTAATGGCATTTCCTATTTCACCTACATTCACTCCTCTCCAGATACAAGCAGCCTCACTATTCCTCAGATATACCAAGCATGCTCCTGCCTGTGAGATTTTGAACTGACTGTTCCCTGGGACTTGGTATATTCTTTCCCAGATACTTGCCATGTCTCATTCTTTCATCTCCTTCAAATCTTCACTCATCGGTCACCTTGTCCATGAGGCTGACTCTGATCATCCCCTTTAAATTTCACCTCCTGTCCCCTACATTCCCAGCCACCTTGTCCTTGTTCATAGTAGTTGCAACATTCTAATGTATAACATACCTATTTACTTTTATTACCTATTGTTTACATCTTCTCACTACTATTAATCCCATGATGGTATGAATTTTTGTCTGTTCTGTTCTGTGCCAACATCAGAACTGTACCTGGAACAATAAATACTTGCTGAAAGTGGAATAATCAGATGGTCCCTTATCAAATGCTTATTACTAAGGTCATGCAAACCAATTTAAGTGGCAATAAACATTAAAGGAAGCTGTAAAGAATCAAACTATGGGGACTTCAGGATGAACCATTAACCTCTTAAAAGATATCTAATAGCAGGCAAATTTTGAAAACATGTCTCTTTCAACTTCAGTTACCATTTAATGTGCAACTACTCTGTAAAAGGCATTGGACTTTACACATATCATAGCAGGTCCTTGAATAATAGTGTTTTGTGAATGTTGTTTCATTATAACATTGATGAATACTCTACGAACTTTACTCTTGTTTATATCAAATAACCTGTGGTTAAATTGGTTTCATTATGCTTAAAGTTGCAGAACTTATTGGTGACTTTATTGAGAATTAGTGTACCTTTAAAACCCACTATAGTCACCAATAGTAGAGTAGATCTATTAACCTCATGCATTGATAAAGAACAGAGACTCATTTAATAACTTCTCCAAAGTCACACATCTAGTACGTAATAGAACCAGAGTGTGAACACAGATGTGTGTTTTCAAGGCACTTAACTTATTGTACTCTTGTATCACAATGATTCCTACTTTTCTTGATGAATCATGAAGATAGAGAAACCAACTTCTGAAAAGGACTGTAGTGTTTTTCTTGCCTTCAGTGAAAATCAACAATCCTAAAATGTTAGAATGGGCATAAACTGCTTTTTTGGTTTTACTCAATCAAAGCTCTCCTTCCCTCTGGAAACCATGTGCATCTATCTGCAAAAAGGCAGCTCAGCGGTGGGCTGTGCCTTAGAGACTTAAGCGCCCTGAATCTGTGATGAGCTAACATGATTAAATAAATAGAAAAGCAAACCACCTGGTTAAAATTCTAAGAAAGTGACGTTATAAGAGCCCATTCAGAATTGTTTGACTAATATCAATATTAGTTATTTTCCTATAGCTATTGATTACCTAAATTATATACTCAATAATACATACTTGGATTTCACAGTGGCCTACAAGTGAAATTTGGTCTTTAAACTGGGGGCGGGGCACAGGACCACTAATAAATTTTAGCTGTTTCTGAAAGCATTCCTCCAAATACTAGGAATCAAAGTTGAGTTGGTAGTCTCAGTCACTAACTGCCACTTGATGTTGGCTAAATCATCTCAGCTCC